GAGTCGGGTCCGACCCATAGCGACCCTGTACAGGGTTTCCGAGGGTGTAAATCTTTACGGGAGTAGAAAGCCTCATCTTTCTCCCGCGGAGCGACTGGTAGTTTCGAACCGCTGACCTTAAGGTTCGCAGCCCGATTCGTAACCACTACGCTACCAGAGCTCCTTATACTCTTGTCTTAAGATTGCATTATGTACTTCACTAAACTTAAGTTTTCTTTTCTTTCCTATCTATCTAGCAAACAAATCTGATATTTTCTACTAATATGCATAAGAAAATGTTTTTTAATTTTATAACTATCCAATGTTTTTGGATTAAGCTTTGGTTACCCTGTATTGCCAACACATAGCGCAGTGTCTGGTATAGTGGTGTAGTACTCAATAGCTTGGGATTCTGCTGTGGCGTTGTAGGATAAGCACTGGACTGCTAACCAAAAGGTCAGTAGATCAAACCCAACAGTCATTCCTTAGAAACCCTATACAGAGTGGCTAATTGACAACAACTCAACAGTATTTCCAAATAAAAATTTAGGAGTAGGAAACACAGTGTTTTATAACTATACTGGTGAACTTTTCATAATTTTCCAGAAACCATTTATATTAAAAAATATTCATGTTTTAATTTATAAACTTAACATGAATATTTTAAACATTAATTTTTTTAAAATTTTCCATAATATATATTTTTAGGCTTATTGCTATATTTAAAACACTGGCTAAATGAAAAACAATATTTAAATGAAAAACATTTTTTCAAACTTTTTTTTTTAATTTCTATGTCTTATAGATACCAAGTTTCCAAGTAGCAGCTGGTAGGTTGGAACCGTCAACCTCGTGATTTACAGTCTAGTGCTTATTCTACAGCATCACACCAAGAGTTCACACTTTCAATTGTTGTTGTTGTTGTTGTTGTTGTTAGGTGCCACAGAATCGGTTCTGACTCATAGCAACCCTGTATAGGGCTTCCAAGGAGGGACTGGTGGGTTTGACTTGCCAACCTTGTAGCTCAAACTGATCTTGCAGTTCAGTGCATTATTCTGCTATGCCACACCAGGACACCCACTTTCAAATAGAAACTGCTTTATGTGAAATGTTCACTAAAGCTTAGTTCTGCTTCCCTCAACAGATATGCTCCAGGAAAGCAGTTGTCGGAGTTTTACTTTTCCTCATTCTCCATAGTGCTAAACATAGAACTGATGTCCGGTAAGTATTTGTTGATTGACTGATTTCTGTACCTTCTGAGATAATTTATTGTTCTAGGAAGACCAGACACTCACTACATATATGGTACATTAAACCTACTCATTCAAGATCAAATTAAAAGATTACAAAACTTAATAAATTATGACAAGTTAAAAAAGGTAAGCCACAGGGTTATTCAATTTGCTACATCTGGATACCATAAAATAAAATGATTACCTCTGGATTTTCACTTAAATATATTTGTTTAGATATGTTGTTTATTGTACAGATCCACTGTAAGAGGAAAAAAGTAGAAAAATGTAATTAATAATACATTATTTCCAACAAAACTTTCTCTTCTAAAAGATAATGTTCAGTATTCAACTGAAGCAGACATTCATGAAGAAAGCACCTTCCTATATACACATGCACATATAAGCGTATAGTATTTGTGGGAGTAATAAAATATTGAGATTTACTACTTTACACAAGGAAATAAAAAATACAGAAATCATGCTAAATTATTATTGAATAGTCTGTACTTATCTTTACAACCAAACAAGACATTCAGGATTCAGATACCATAATAAACATCAGTACACAAAAGCAAAGCGCTAAATATAGTTCAAGTGAATTCATTGTACATGTGCCCCTTCTTTCAAGTTTATATATAATTAACATAGAAAAACCTCTCTCTCTCCATCTCTTGCTTCACTCTCTAGGACTCCAAAAGCCTGGTGAATGTCACTGAGCTTAAACGAATTATTCTGTTAGGTAAACAAACTCTGCAGCAAGCAGGCATTTGTCTGTGCTGCTTCATATACCAAAAGCAAGTTTCAAAACCAACTCTTTTCCAAAAAGGTAAATAAAAGTTGACCACTGCATAATTTCTAAACCTGTCTTTTACCAAAGCAATTATAATGCTAGGTAAACTGGCTCAAACTCAAATTATGGTATATTTTTACAGTAGGGTATTTCTCAAGATAGTTTTAAGTGGTCAGTTCTCAGTAGCAGCTTACCTTCCATATTTGATACACTAGAAGTAAAACTGGAGCCAAAAATAAAAGGCTTGTGAGGAAGAGCAGAGACTCCCAAATTTTTGTTTTTCTGTCTTTCATTTCCCCAAGGGTTTTATGCTTTAGTTGCTTCCTACCATGCTACATCTGCTGCCACTATGCTCTTAATGCAGCACATACTGTCTCAAAGGGCTGATGAGAGAACGGAATAAATTAAACTGTCGCCTCATGATGTTAACAGCTTGCCAGAAAGCACCAGTCACAAGGTCATTTCTGAATCTGAGCCCTTTAGACAACAGAGAGATGATTTCTAACTTAGAAATTTCTCCAGCTGTAAAACTCTGTAGGAAATCTGAGAACACTATCTTGACTAGAATTTTCCATATTTTCTATAATGAACACATTAAGTATATGTCTTGCAGTTTTTTAAAAGTTTTAATACTGAAGAAATTAGGTAGAATTTTACCTCTTCATGGTCCTTCTTACTCTCTGCTTGCAAAATTGAAGATCTTTAAAAAAAAAAAAAAAAGTAAAGATCTGACTCTCAACTTTTTTATAAAAATATTTTCAATATAATCTGAGACAACTTATCTCTAAAACTAATAGAGGAGAACTTGAAGGTACCTATAAAAATAAACGAGTATCTCTCAGCAAAAGCAGACCACCACAGGCATCAAGACTCAATGCACATAAACAAAAGAAAAGAATGATTTTAGAGACCCATAGTGTTCCTGAATATTAAGAAAGGTCAAAACAATATTTTAATTAAGTGGAAAAAACTACAGATAACCCAAATATTTGTAAAATGTTTTAATCATGTTATACATCTGTAAAGCTCTAGATCCCCAGCAAGACTGATGCCAACATGCAGATCTCTGAGGAATGCTGGTTCTACAGCTGCTTAAAGAAGACGAGGACTTTTCCCAGAGCCGGTACTCTGAATACAGACTTCCAGTCCCCTCAACTGTGAGAGAATACGTTTCTGTTTGTTAAAGCCATCCACTGGTACTATTTCTGTTACAGTAGCAGTAAATAACTAAGACATGTATTTATTGTAACAACAACGAAAAATCTACGTAGGCTAAGGTTGCTTATGTCCATCCAAACACCTCATGAGATCTGGGTCCTTGGTGTGGAAGTTTCGGATCATGGTTTCATGGGACACCCAGATAACTGGTTTAATAATAGTGATTGGATTGCGAGCTGGGCTGCTAACCACAAGGTCAACATTTCAAATCTAACAGATGCTCCGCTACAGCCTTGGAAATCTATATGTCACTATGAGTTGGCAAACTCAATGGCACACAACCACCACCACCAACTGATGTGTGTAGTGCTTCTGTTCTGCCTCCTAGTTCATTGCATAGTGCCTGAGGCCTTAAAAGCTTGTAGTCAACATCCAAGATACAACAGTTGGTCAGTATTCATCTGGAGCAACAGAAAAAGATGGAGAGTCAGGGAAAGAAGAAGGATATGGATTGTGTGGCTAACTGCCTCCTTCTGTTATGAGACTACAAGTATAGTATGGTGCCCAGCCATCATCACTGAACATTTTGGTCAAAGACTCCGTAGAAGAATCCTGATCAAAAAGAAGGAAATGCAGAACAGAATTTCAAATTCTCATGCAGTCTATACCTTCCGGGGCCAGAACTCCTGAAACTACTGCCCCCAAATAATCCTTAAACATTAAGCCAAAACACATTCACTGAAGTCTTCTTAAAACCAAGCATATATTTGCTTAACTAGTCAAAAAGCTCTATTGCAGCAGCAATTCAAAAGATTAGAAGGAACCCTTAGAGAGCAGTGAGTGTATGTTCATGGAAGAGGAAGAACTCAGAAAAGAGGGCAGGAACAGTGCACAACTCAAGAAATTAACTGATGCCAATGAACTGTACATGCACAAACAGTTCAACTGGTGTATGTTTTGCTGTGTAGATTCTCAACAATAAAATGAAACTTGGAAAAATGTATTCTAAATGCTATTATATACGTTTTTATTTAAAGCAAAACTAAATTTTTTTTTAATCTGGTGGCACTGTAGGATAAGCACTGGACTACTAACCATAAGGTTGGCAGTTAAAACCCACCAGTGGCTCTAAGTAAGAAAGGAAAGTTTACTTGTTTCCATAAATATTTATAGCCTCTGAAACCCTACATAGAGTCACTATGAGTCATAACAGATTACATGGCAGTGGGTTTGGTAGGGTTTTATTGGTATAAACATGAATGGACTAAACGATGAAATTGATCAGAACTATTTGATTAATATTTTTAAATAACACTCTTGATTAGGATCTACTGTGTGCTACACATCGTACATATATCAGATTCCTACTCTTCACAATGACAAAGTAGGAATTATAAGTACCCCACCCTCAGGCATTTTACATGCAGAAAAATGGAGTTCAAGGGATAAAGGAAGCTGTTCACAGACAACCAGTTAAGCAATGGAGCTAGAATTTGAACTTTCTGGCCCCAAGTTTCAACTGAACTTTCCACTAACTTGTGCTACTTTGCCCATACTGTGCAGGATTTACCGTGACAGTCTCAACATAAAATCAGAAATCTTAACCATATGACAAGGCCAGAGACCTTGCTTTGTCAGCCTCAAAATATAAAGAAATAAATAAAACTCATCTCTAGAAGACTAGAAAAGAAAAAATCAGCTTAATATACAGTAAGTATAAAATGTCTATTAAATTTCTGAAAAATTATCCTGCATTTTGTTTAAGATACTACAGATTTTACTAATAGATAAAAATACTAACTTTTTTCCATCAAAAGAGGTAATCTGAAAACAGTATCTCCTGTCTTCACAGTCCACAGCCATCACTGAACAGTTATCTATGTCCATGGCCAGGCCTCCTGCCACGTCCCCTCGGGCCTGAGTCATTAAATTTCCACCCTGCGTGAAGTAAAACTGTCTGTCCCAGGTAGATGACACCAAGCCTGTTTTACTAAATGAAGAAAGCATATTTTCACTTTTTAATAACAGTCAGACAAAAAAAAAAAAAAAAATAGAGCATATCATAAAAAAATTCAAGCTTGGAAAAAGGCACCAAGGTACCAGGAACAACATATAACCTTCAGTTTTTCAGCCTCTAAAATAAATTCTTATAGCTTGACTCACTTGTATAGGCTAGAAATAATAATTAAAACTGTTATAATGATTTCCATAGAGTATGTTACATACAGTTCATTTTCCAAGAGAATATGTTCAAAACCAACTAATTTGTTTTATCTTCAGGTATGAATAAAGGTGCTCTGGTAGCATTCTGGTTATGAGTTGGACTGCTAACCTCAACGTCAGCAGTTTGAAACTACCAGCAGTCCCGCGGGAAAAAGAAGAGGCTTTCTGCTCCAGTAAAGATTCACAGCCTCGGAAATCCTCTACAGGGTCGCTATGAGTCGGAATCGACTCCACAGCAATCCACTACCACCACATGAATAATTTATTCATATCTTCAGGTAAAAACTAAAATATGATTTAATGGTGTAATCACATATTTTCAAGTATGATAAATTATACTAAATAGTATATATTCCAAGCTTAATGATACATTTAAATTCTTCATTTATAGAATTTCTCAAGTGTTCAATAATTATGGGTAGAGTTTTACTTTAAAAAATATTCATGTATTTTATTTCATCTATCATAGAATTTACATAAGTATTAGCACCATTAAAAAGGTTCAACTTTTAGTAAAATTAAAACAATTTGGCAGACAATCTCAAGTACATATTACATTTCAATTGATAGCACAGTAGGTTATATACAACATATAAAAATAACAACAGTATTCTTACTTCCTAGCATTAAGGTACCCAGCCTTTCGGGTTAAGTTTCGATTAACAGGGAATTTGGTGGGATCTGGGTCAGGTATATATAACGGGTCACTGGCTACTTCCAAATCCTCTATTGTTTGCTGCATGGTCTCTACATCACTGTCCATTTCCCTGCGAACACTGACAACAGAAAACTGATTATTTACTACAACCACAGTAGATAAAGAACTCATTACGAATGACTTCTATATATCTATTTGCTTTATGGTTTTTTGTTTTTTCGGTAAAAAGGGAAGCAAAGGTATAGGTGGTTAAAGCAAAATGGACACATTTTAAAACAGATTTATACTTTATTTGAAACTTAAGTATTTTGGAAACAATACCAAATTAAAAAACTAACAGTGACCACTTGATTTTGGAGAATGCTTCAAACTGATCTTTACTTTGCTATTAAACCAACAGTCATTTTCATTTTCCTCCACACCTCAAAATAACCACATCATCATCGCTTACATTTCTGAATCTGATTAAGGCTGTTTTCTCTCTCTCACTTTACACCTTCACAGCTTGGAAACCAAGATGTGTTTAGTAATCTTTCAACCACCACCCACTATTCAGAATTTAAAAACAAAACTAAATTCACTTAAGGAAAATTGCTATTGCATTCCTTTTGTATTCAGACATAAAACCTAGTTTATAACCAATAAAATCAACATCAGAATTTATACTTGTTGAAATTAAAAATTTCTGTTCTGTGGAAAAGATGTTAAAAACCTAAGAAGCATCAATGGTCTTTCAAGAAACACTCTCATGGCAGGAAAAACTGTCCCTCAGGAAATTAAATGGTAAACATTTTTAAACTGTGGTGCTTAGTTGCTAATTTATCATTCACATAATTTAATTTTCAATATTAAGAAAGAAAATACTTACTTCTGTACACTTGTTCCAATATTAGTTAAAAATTCTTCCAGTTGTTCATCGAGATTTTCAGAACCCATCTTAAAGAAACTTATCTGGGGCAAGGGAAGTGGGAGGTGAACAACACAAACATACACACAGTCACACATACAAAAAATACTTAATTCATATAAATAATCTCTAAGGTACATAAGAGTTAAGCTTAAAAAAAACAAAGGATTTATATAAAAACAGATTGTCATTTATTATGACTTCTATGGTCATATGGTCCCTGAGGGAGCAAGATTGAATTTTGACTCTATATCTTTTGAATTAGGTAAGGAATACAAGCATATGCTAAATACTTTTTAAAAAATAAATTTTAAAACATTTCACAATAAA